CCAGAATGAAGGTTCCGACAGTCAAGCTGTAAGCTGCGGCGAACCAACTGAGCTGTCCTGCATTTGTGGTGCCAAAGCTGGCGCCAATGATGTGAGCTGGGGCAATGGACATGCATAGGCCGGCTTGTGTCATGAATTGAGCCATGCAGACCACGGCAATGAAGATGATCTCTTTCCATAGTTCGGACGGGGGCTTGACAGCCGACTGGGCTGTCTCGAGCCGAGTCAGCGCTTCGGGGTCCTCATCATCGTCTAGGTTGGATGGCTTTTCCTGCAAGTCGCCGCGACTGAGAATGGACTCGGAGTCGTATGGCGTTGACCCATCTAAGACTGGCTCTGAACGATTGTTGTCTGCAAATTCCGACATATTCAGTCACCTCTGAGCAGGCAGTGTTTCCGGCGCGAGAGTGCGGCCGAGCGGCCGACCCTGGGGGCCCCAGACATTATATATGAAGGGAAGATAATGCTCGATGAAGAATCTAGATAGATACCATTCCCTATGATGTCTGCCGTAGACCCACATCTTCGCCACCGTTGAGTAGCCCAGCAATGCTATTCGTTGATGCTGAGCCAAAATGAGACCATTGGGGCACAGGAAGGTTCATGTCCCGTCGGAAGCAAGACTGATCCGTCGGGAGTGGCAGCAAGGGGCCATAGATAAAATCAGGACAGGGACGCGAGTGTGCCAAATTGCTCCGAGCGGCATGCCGATAAGACAGAATTTTCACACTTCGGGGCCGGAACGGGGTGAAGTTGTCAAGCATCAATATAATATGTAGTTTTCAATGGTTAGATGGGAGGAAAGAGTTAATCCGGTCGATTAAGTAGATTTGCTGCTATACGGCTGACAGACATCTGGTGGGGTTCTTATCTTAGATCATCATGATAGCACCCTAATGGTTAACAAATGAACTAGAACCTTGCATCCTGTTCTAGTAATCCTACCGTACCTTTGCATGGTGCATCCTGCGCGGCTCTTCCGTCTTGAGCCTTCCAGGGCTGTGACTACGCTAATCCAAAAAGGGTATCTTGATGTCCTCTCAGCTCCAGCTCAATGCCCGCATGCAGAGTAACTACTTCTGAATACCAGTGATATGTGCGGAGTACTAGTATCGGCTGACATATGAGATCTTCCGAGATGATACTTATTATAGACCGCATTCTACCTACCGATGTAATTGCTGTTGCCGATTTCAAGTTCAACCGGACTTTTCCCGAAGTATATACTTTGCTACTCACTATAATATATATCGAGCACCACAGAGGAGTGTCTCTTGACGATGAGTGAACTGATTTTGCTTTTGACGCAGATAATCTGAGTTCAACTGCTCTACTAGCTACAAGTGGTAGTATCCTCTGTTCCCCAGGCGACACCAACCATGTGTGCCCAGCTGTATCACTGCATTGTTCAAGACTGAACAGAATGTGTGGCTAGGATAGATCACAGCCACGAAGGAATTGATATTACGTGGAGTTCTGGAGGGACAACCCTGATTCTTACTGATAGTCTTGGTACTATCAGCTTTGTTCAGGAAGAACAAGGGCAGTAAGTTAATTGTCGCTTGGCTGAGCAATGGGCTGAGTTCAAAGGAGACATTGAGACGACAAAGAGCCTCAGACGCAAGGGTCTACCCGCATAATACTCCTCAATCAGCACCCTAGCAACGCTGTTGTCCTGAAAATACAATGGATATTCAGAATACGTGGTCCTAGCGCTCTCCTGATGAGTTTGTAAAGTATTGTCCCCTTGATATTCAAGCGGGATATACATCTCCTAACATGAAAGAGATACGAATTGAGTATTAGCACCCACATACTGCCAAAGAATTTGCGAGTCAATCTCCGATTCTTCGCTCAATCCAAATTGCGACGTACCCACCTGGTTGGATAATGTGGGTCATATTTCAAGTGATGTCAGTCAAAAGAGACAAAGCATATCTGACTTCATTAGCACTTTTGAGTTGGGCTGAGCTCTCAAAGAAACGCAAAAACACGGAGAAAAGGTATCCAATCATTCAGAATTCCAAATTTCATTTACTGCACCGCTAACAAGAGAACATGACATTTTCACGTTGTGATGAAGAAAGGGGATCTCCGACATCGCCAGTGGAGCCGACGACAGCCGAGGATCGGCAATCCCGTGACAGGCAGTAAAACGAGCTAACGCCGGCTAGCTCCTGACCGCCTCCGGAACAGGCTAGACAGCAGGTGCATCACATGCAACCGGAGGAAAAAAAGAGTGGCGGCCTGAAGTCGGGGGCTTCCACGCCTGCACGAAACAATCAAAAGAAAAAGAAACGCGCGCAAAAAGATCCATCAGGTTTCCCTTTTTCGAAAAAAAATTATGTGAAGCTGCCGATCGTACTCCAATCGATTTCATCCCATCACCATGCCATTGATTTTGCTCTCCCTCGCTTTCTTCCATGAGATCTGGGATCGTGTGTGACGCGTTGTGATCGTGGCTGGAGAATATTAATGCTTTACCCCGCCGGACCTTCAAGAGAAACAATAGGCAACTTTCCCCTCCACCTTCATTGTTGTCGGTGTTCCACCTCCTCCTTTCCAACAATCTCCTCCCATCGTCTTCTATATAGTCTCCTTCGCACCTCTTCCCTTACCTTCAAGCATCTCAAGCATCCCAAGCACTTCAAGCATCTATCAGCCATAGAACTTGTGCGGTCATGAGGAAACTCCCTGCGGCCATTATCGTCGCCAGGTATGTCCACCTTTTCTTTTGGTTAATGCGCAATCGGAAACTGACTCTTTTCCTTTGTCTAGACATGGCGCTCGCCTGGATGTTGCAGACAAGAATTGGCATCTCACTTCGCCTACCCCCTATGACCCTCCCCTCTCGTATGGCGGCTGGCTACAGTCTCGGGCTCTGGGGGCCCGCATCAATGACGTTGTCCAGTCTCTGGACGATTCACTAGACTCTACAACAGAAGTTGACAACGGTATCAAGTCGCCTTCCGACCGTCTACAAAAGCCAAAACCGAAGCGCAGGATTATCATTCACTCATCTCCCTTCACTCGATGCCTACAGACAGCCATCGCGGTCAGCTCAGGGATCTGCCAGAATTCGGGCGAGCCAGAGCTTAACCGGTCCTCGAAAGTCCCCAGTTTAGTCCAGTCAAATTCGGATTCTGCCTTGACCCCTGGTCCCATTACATCAAGCGACCATCGATGTCTCCTACGAGTGGATGCCTTCCTTGGGGAATGGCTTTGCCCTAGATACTTCGACGAGATTATCCCGCCGCCCAACTCGGATCGCATGATCACGGCTGCAAAGCTCGAGCTGCTGCGTCGCGAGCACAGTTTCGTTCCCGAGGCGGACATCGTCCCCAGACCCTCCACTGGCTTTTTCCCTGGTGGCTGGGGGAGTGCATCTACTCCGGTTTCTCCCGCCAATGATGTAACAGCGAAGATAAAGACAGAGGCCCCACCCAGTACACGTCAGACGCAGGCACAGAGGTCCCGCGCTGGCAGCTGTGACACCTTCAGCGCTGCTGAAACGACTCGCGGACGGCGGATGCTCAGCAAGATCAATACCAATCTCCCCTCCATTCCAGATGCCGCCTACGTGCCTCCAACGCCTAGCTATGCCATTTCTCCTTCGGACCCCATTCCAGCTGGGTACGTGACGCATGCTCGGGACGCCTGTGTGAAGATCGATTTCCAATGGGACAGCATGCACGGGGAGCAGAACTGGGGTGATGGAGGCGAGTACGGCGAGGAATGGAGTACGATGCATACGCGGTTCAGTACGGGGCTCGACCGCATGCTTGCGTGGTATCGGGACTACGAGTCAACTTCTTCCGGTCGGCCTCGACGACATTCTCAGATGCTCGACAGTTCTGGCGAAGCCAGTTCCCGCAGTGAAGCGGATGACGATACAGAGACGATTTTGGTGTTGATCACGCACGGCGCGGGTTGCAATGCAATGATCACAGCACTGTCCGGGGAGCCATCCCAAGTAAATGTCGGCACTGCATCTCTCACCTTGGCGGTCCGCAATGATCACATGCCCGAAATGGCTCAAGATGATACCATTGGCGGACCAGTTCGGACCAAGGGATCCAACGAGCCATCCAGCGTGGAGAGTTATGCCATGAAAATGGTGGCTTCAACCGAGCACCTCCGCATCGCTCCCAGCACGTCACGTGTCTCCTCCCCGAGCCAGGTGACCTCCCCCTCAATCTCGTCCTACCGACATCGACTAGCAAACCGTCCATCGCTGTCACAAGGTATGTTCATCATCGGACCCTCGTCAACATCCGGCCCCAGCACTGCTCCCTGGAATGCCGAGCGACCCTCTACGGCTGTCACTCCTAAGACCTCAGGTCTCTGGGGATCCAGCGCCGCCGATGGCCCTGAGGACGATATCGTGCCTAACTTTGGCTGGCCTGCCCCGTCGCCGCCGGTCCAAGGAGAAAGCTCGGTCCAGGCCAAGGTGGATGAACCCACGTCTGCCAAACAAGTGCCACAGCGAACACTCTCCCAGCGCGGACTCTGGGGGAGCGCGCCGCTCAGCAAGGACCGTGAAGCGGGACACAAGCGTCGGTGGACTGTGACTGAACGACGACCATGATGATACCAGGTGGAAATAATATTATTTGTATCTTTCGGGTTTGTTTCTTAGGCTTGGAGTTTGGGATGGGACCATCTAGCTAGATTGCATAGTTTTGGGTGTGAATAGCGGTTCATAGCTGACAGGAGTTAATATACCCTTGCTGATACCACTTGATGATGATGATGATGATGATGATGCAGAATTGAAGTAGGCAAATAGTAGCCGTCCACTGGAATAAATCATTAGAGGCCATACAGATGTCTGTCAAGCGCTGACATGAGTATCTAACTCAGTCTACCACTATGACTTAATATTAGCTAAGTAATTGTACACTATCCTACCAAATGATTCTACTCCACTACTCATTTCCCAACAGACCCCAAAAGCACTTGATGAAATGATCCAAAAAGAAAAGATGCTAAACACCATAGACTTTGATACCCTCCTACTCCACTTGGAGTAGGACCATTATATTCGAAGATCCACCTATCCCGGAATTAAAATCCTCACAATCATCCACCCCTTAGTAACTAAAAATACAATAGAATAATACAACATCAACAAAAATCATCCCCTCTCACCTCACCCCAGAACCCAGAAATCCACCACTTACAATCATCTAATACAACAACTTACACTCCCAATTCTCCGCCTCATCCGGATCCCCCTTCCCAGTATACTTCGCCTGATACGGATAATGACAAATAGGTCTCTGCCTAAGCACTTCCTGAGCATTGGTAGTGTTCTTCCACACCGTCGCAACAATACTATCCGGCGCCGTGCCATTCTCCACCCACGCCATCATGGCCAACACTACATCGTGCTTGGCGTCCCTATATTCGGGGACACTCCACGTCGAGGTGTTGATGGTGGATGCTTGGTCCGTGCCGGCGATGTACCACGGGGCGTTCATGTCAGTAGGGGTGTTGTAGCAGTGTCTTTATCAATTAGTACATTTCAATTAGCATCGACCTTTATCAGAAAGAAGAGGAGAGAAGAGAAAATAAAAGGGGTGGGTATAGGGTATACGCACTCCATGCCCGGGATCAAAAACAAGCGATAGAAATCATCCACGTCATCGACGCCGTTCGCCTGCACAGCGCTCTTCGCCTGGTCGTAGTAGAACGTGCTCGCTCCGGGAGAGACATAACTATCCGAGAGTCCATGGTAATGGATGAATTTTCCACCGCGCTTCTCGAACTCGCTGATGTCGTATTGTCCTGCTGTTGCGTTACCGGGGTTCAAGTGGTCTGCTAGCTCGACGGTGCTGAAGTCGAGGTCTTTCCAGACGAAGGAGTCGCCCAGACCCATGAGGTCACGGAGGAACCAGTATTGCTGGGAGATGGTCGACTCCTCGCCGATACCGATGTTACCTTCTAGCCAGGAGGATTCACTTCCGTAGAAGAGATGGCTGTATAAGGCGGCGCTGCGGAGACTAGTCTACTTCAGGTATGGATGATCGCCATGGAGATACCCTCTGATGAAAGTGGAATTACTCCAGCAGGGCATCAGGAATCAGTGTGTTCGAGATATTATTCACCAGTCCAAGTACATTCTAGCGGCATAGCTGATACGTGCGATCGTCATAGCATTACCTGATCGCATCGAGCATCGCACCATTATTCCTCGGCTGACTCCGAGGCTAATGAGCTTCTCTGAATTTGATTCGCCGGTGTGCATATTTCCTCTCCATCTGAGCTCAGTAGCCGCTTGATGATTTAGGCATCAGAATAAGCTTACACTCAAGTTCTATTAGAGTTGCATATCCCGCAATAACAGATCGTGGGAGGTAAATGAAGAGTCTTCCCGCAGTGGAGATCAAGGTACCTGCGCTGCCGTGTCCTAGCCTTATCGAACCTGTTAGGGTTGGGATATACCTGCAGTATTGCGGAACCTTTTTATTTCTGCTCGGAAAGAGATGGATGTCTAAATCTCTCAAGCCTATGCTTGAAGGATAATTCCTCCAAGTCCACACCTAGAATAATGGCGTCTCAACCACAACTGTGCCTAACTTTCACCTTTCAAGGGAAATTCCTTTGACGACATTCGAGATATATCTTTACTCCAAAAGCGGCCAGACTCAAATGTACATCAAAAGACGTAAAAACCTCTGTTGTTACAAGGAAGTGCCAAAGACAAAGTGTATAGCACTGGCTATCACCGTTGCCATAACTGGGACCAGAGGACGCTGCCGATAAGTGCCAACTAGGGGCAAATGTTTACTGTCAATCTTTACAAACATAGCCTAGTCAGTCCACATTCTCTAATATAAATACTAAATATATATGGCGATCTGTTCATGGCTATACACTCAGCATCGACAAAGACAATACACTCAGAAATCATCCTGTCTCCTATCAGCCCCCTCGAACATGCAGATCTCTTCTTAGACAGCAGAATCTGATCCATGGAGGTTGTATACCTCACCAAGCAATTTCGTATTGACAAATTCAGAGACTGTCCGGTTGAGCTCCTGTTCCACCTCGAACAATGCCTCCGGTTACCGGTGAGAGAAGCCCTCAATTTGCAGGATGTGCCCGACTTTTTCGAGACCATGAGAAACCATGCTAAGAAAGACTTTGAATGTCCTTCTTTGTCAAACCCCACGCGTCGTATTAATATTTATGAATTTGCCGCCCGTAAATACCGCAAAGGCTTCTGTGACCTTGAAGTGCCGACGTGCCTCTTCGAGCCCACATGTTCTGATGGTGTGGTCGACACGATAAAGAAGGGTGACGTTCAAGGACTCGAAAAACGGCTTCAAGAGGGCCTGCATCCCGATGGATATAGTGTAGCTGGGATCCCGCTTCTTTGCCTGGCGGTGGTACATATGCAAGTTGAGTGCGTTGAGCTACTGCTGAGGTACACTGCAAACCCCAGTGCAAGAGGTTACTGGTTCGCTGCAGGGCCTCTTGACTATGTCATGCCCGCTCCTTTGAGTTACAGCTGTCGCGACCATAAAGCCATCATCCGAATGCTGGTCAATGCGGGAAGCTTCTTTAGCTATCCCAACGTCCTGGACAGTATATTTCTCTATAATGACATCGATCTCCTGAAGAGGGTCATGGATGAACCCCCTGGTCTCTTTGCTGAATGGCCACATAGTGGCTTCGAGTTCATATTCCATCGCCTGGCATGGCATGGCAAGGGTTGTGATGAAATCATAGACTTGATTGACTCCAGGGCACCTGAGGCGGCTCGTCAGATAGCTCCTACGGGCCATACCCCTCTACACTATGCAGTTGTAAACAAGAATGATGTTAATATGGTTAAGAAGTTGCTTCGCTTGCCCATTTACCTGTCGGCGCTGGATTACAACCAGAATTCAGCCCTCGCTATGGCTGTCAAGGAGAACCACGTGGAAGCCGTCAAAGCTATGCTCGGCCTCCCGGATATTAATTTGCTGCAGCTTCACGAAGTATGGGATTTCAACATAACCCCATTGGGTCAAGCTATGAGGCAGCGCAATCAGACGCTTATGACTATGCTGCTTACTCATCCACGTATGTGTCTCACAGAAAGAGCCCGAGATGCGGCGCTTGTTCAGGCAAAGGAGCTGGGGCTTGATGATTATTTGATGGAGCAAATCAGTAGACTGCAGGCTTGATCCCAGGACCGTGGCTCCTGATTGTATTGATGCATTGCAGGCCCATAATGGATCTAATTTAGGAAATTGATGTTTTCTCGCTCAATATGAATATCGCATTTACTTAGTCGCTCCAGAATTTATCATTGACTAACTTTGTGTATCGTTAATTGCGAAGAGATATCCGGCGACCGTCAGGAAACTCAACCTATGTAGCACGGGTCTTCTGCTCGGGTAAGGTAGAAATGAAGAACACCAGAATTACCATAGTATGCCCTGTAACCATTGGTAGCGGCAATGGTACTTGCATCCACGTAGCGGAAACGCCGCGTTGATGCTTGATCACCTGGGATGACCAGATGGCCAGGAGCACCGTGGAACTTGATTTTGTGGACCTGCTCATGGCTAGTTAGAAGTGTTGAACGGCAGAACGCAAGCACTGTTTGACCTTCTCGGCGTCATCATCGAAGTCCATGGTACTCAATAGAGGAAGGACGTCCTCCGCTAACGCTTGTGCAGGATGCCCCGTATCAATGACATGCATATCCCATTCACCTTCCAAGACATTGGGATCGACTGGCTCAAGCTCGTTGTAGACATGATCAACCTCCGCAGGGTCGAGCTGCTCCAGTGCGTTCGCAAGGCTGATATATTTGTCGGCCGCACTCCTGGTCCATGAATTATAAGGGTCGTGTGGAAGAAAGAGAGAGGTGCTAACATACCGTGTCATCAATTCCACTGAGTTCACAATGAAGGCCAGGAGAGAATGCGAGACTATTGGTCTAACCTTCGTACACATGAGGGGCCGGTGCTACTTATATAGTCGTGGAAGTAGTGTAGACCTGGCGCCATGTTCGCAAACTCTAACTTTATTAGACCTTCCATGACCAAGTATCTCGGGGTATGGGATCAGGAATCCGTTGTTGTGACCATGGTACAGCAAGCGTTTCAATTCCGGGGCGCATGCCAAACAGAGCCTCTTGCTTAATTTGTGGCAAGTATGACATTCGAAAATCTTATTCCAGAATTAGCGCGGTATGCTAACCTTCCTGCGAATATGAGCTCCGCAATCAAGGACTTGGGGGTGGACATACGTGCTAGCTAATGAGCGGTCCATGTCTCCACAAGTTTAAGCATGGCTATCAATATGGGAGCGGATAGCTGGCCCTAACAAGACCGTTTCTGCAGATTAGCCTTTTCCAGAAAGCGTGTAGAAGGAACAACAGGCAATCATTGCCTTCTCATCAGCGAGAAATCTGGAGGTAGGGCATGACGGCATTGATAAGTCGTACTTGCTACCTTGATATGCAGCAGACCTTCGTACTAATAGAATTATGAAAGACTCTGATCTGGTGGAGGGCGCTCAAGGATGTTGTCTCTGACTCTACAGGGTCGGAAGCATCTCATGGCGATCAAGTAAGTAAATTCATTAGGCAATCTCCGGTTATAGATCAGCCCTCCTATTGCCTTGTAGCTTACTTTCGTATCAAACCAATCCTCACCTTCTTAGAACTTACTCAGTGAGAAATTGCGTGGATTCTACGTCAATAAGAGCATCCAATCTGTCGACAACATGACACTTTACTCACGCTACTATATGAATATGTAGGACCCGCAAGCCTACTAGATAAAATCACTACCTCAATTCTTCACTGCTATGCAATTTTGTAGCAGTAGTCGGCGATGCTCGATACTAGATCCAGCTGCTACGTCTATACCGCCTTCCTGCCTAATCCCTCGAAGACCAGTACCACATGCACTCCTCAGACCTGGATATCAAAACAGATTGGACAATCTTTGTTTGAGATACGGTGTCCAGGTATATATGCGGATAACCTATACGCTCTGCGTCGTAAGTGGTTTGTGATCTAAGCACTATTGCTTTTGCATAGACTAGTAGCCAATTGTTGATAGGCTCTGAAACCAGCGTCGAATATATTCGTCGCTCATTCTTGGGGGTACTAAGTACATCATGGAGGCAAGCTGTGAGGGTGGTTGGTAATGTCTGCATGATGTCGGGAGCTGACATTCATTACCAGATATGCAGCCAATCCTTGAAAACCCCGGTATAACAAAAGAGCAGGAAGAGCTGAATAAAGGCTTCATAAAGAGGTAGAGAAGTTTGGTCTTCGGACAAAATCTCTCGAGGAAAATTGTCCTTGGTCGCTCTTCATACGTGCCAAGTCGCCCAAAGAGAGAGGGTGGTACAAGATCAGTTGTTTTCAAGGATGATCCAACGTAATATTTGACTTGGTTGGAAAAGAGAGAGATCTGGTCAGGTGTGGAGAGGATATAGTGGATGAGGCGTTTGAATGAGTATTTGGGATCAATACCGGTAGTGACAGTCGGTCTTGATAACACGACTGCCTGGCCACGAGAGCACCTAAAGCTACTTGTGCGGTTGGTTAAGGAGTAGTAAGGTATGACTCCCAGAAAGTAATATGACTGGCATTTGTTTCGTTTCGAAATGCCACAAGTCCTCAATATCTTACCCTAACGAAGGCTTTGGATTCCTCGGGATAAGGATATCTTTATAAGTAGAACCCTCATTACGACAACAGCGCCAATAGCAAGCAATCTAGATCGTCTAATCAATGGTCAAAAATGTACACATGTTAGCTATAAAGCGATAGTAAACAAAGGTTTCAAGATGATCTGGATCGATCCAAATTAAATGAAGCAATGACTTAAATTAGTAACAGGGGCCCCGCATCCCATGACGAGGCCACTAGTCCAGATCGGGGCTAGTGGGGCATCCAACCTCCGGGATAATTTAATTGATTCATGGTTTGTTGCTCGATTTCCTGCCACTGCATTTTAATCCAGCTGAGATTAACATCCATGACTTGCAGGTGTTAAATACTTTTTCCCCCTTTCTTTTCCTGCAATGTTAACCTTCAATTAAACTCTCCTACCCTCATTCTTTCCTCCCTACCCCGTCATTCCTTTCCCCTTCTCCGAGTCTGACAATGACTTCTTCCCGCCGCAACGGGCAAGCTCTGCCATGTGAGCCCTGCCGCAAAGCCAAAATCCGCTGCGATAGTGCCACCCCAACATGCCAGAATTGTGTCCGTCGCGGTAAGGGAGACAGTTGCGTCTACACGCCCGTTCCGGCTTCTCGCACCTGGTACTCGGACAATGCTCCCTCACCCACCGCATCACCACGTCCCCAAACAGCCCAACCCCGCCCCGACTCCGCTGCTCTCCAGAGCCGGGCCTCATTCAACGCCGGCGACGACAAATTATCTTTCGATTTCGCCACCAATAATTCGGCGACATTCAGCGACATTGGCGACCAATTCAAACGCTCTCTGGTCATCGATGCGCCCTCCGCGGCTCGGCCCGATACGAAGCAGATCCAGCTTGGCGCTCGACTGCTCACTATGCTGTTCGAGCATTTCGCGTTATATGAGCGACTGTCTGAAACGGCGGTCGAGGTATGGCCCGAGGGATGTGTCCTGGGTCATCGGCTGGTGAGCGGGATGTTTGAGGCGTTGGAGGATTTGCATGGGGCGCTGGCTGCGGATGCGAAGGACTTGCAGTCGAGTTTGCTTCGCTGGTCGCAGAAGATCTTTGATGATAGTGCCAAGCCGCTGGCTGTTCAGCCGACTATGTCGCCAGAGGACTATATCCGTCGAATTTCTGGACGGTGGGAGGGTATTGGACTGGTGTTTACGATTGTTGGTCAGGGCGCTATGCTTGAGCGGGATTGGAGGTCTATCCGTTCCAGTGAGGCGAATGTGCCGAGGGATCAGAAGTCGCTCGCTGCTCAGGCAGTTAGTGCGAGCGATACTTGTTTGCAGTTCTGCGATCTTTCTACGGCGGTTAATGATCCGTTGGGATGGCTACTTTTTCAGCATATTCATCTGCTAACGCTGGTGTGCGGTGAGAATGGTATGTTCTTCTTTGGTCTTTTCATTTGGGTATTTGGGGCTCTGCTAATTGAAATATAGATCCTCGGGCGTGGAGAAGACTAGCTGATCTTTCGACGACGGTCTTTACCCTCAGCCATAATGCACCTGAAGAGAAGCGCATTCCATTCTTCTTGCTTGAACTCCGCAAGCGACTAGTTGCCGGGGCTTACAGTATTGACAAGCAGCTGGCAACTTTCTTGGGAAGGCCTCCTCAGATTAGCTGGCGCTACTACGATGTGCAGTTTCCTCTGGACTTGAGTTACGAAGAGATTCTGGCGGAGCCAAAGGTCCGCGAGGCTGCCATTAGCCTGCTTGACAAGACTGGCTGGAATACCCAGGGGATCGTGGGACAGGCTGCGTGGATGCGCATCGCCCTTCTTATTGGTTCTACGAGAGAACAGATTCTTGAGCTATCTTTGAGCCGACGTATCGAAGAGTTGCCGCGCAAAGTCCAGTAAGTGTGCCGCAGTTCACAAGTAACGATTGCAGAATTGCAGATCGGAGCTAATGTGCATTCTAGGGAGGTGTCGCAGCAATCTCACAAGACATGGAACGACTTGCCCGGCTTCCTCCGCTGGCGCCCAAGTGATCCGGACACCAACGATAGCAGCGTTCTCGTTCCATTGTATCTCAACTTCCTCTACAATGACTTCCTCCTCTATCGCGTTCTTGTGCGCCGGGCACAAAGTGGATCCGAGGGTCTAGTCAGTGTGTCACAAAACATTCTCAGCACGATCCTTGAGCTTATCGGCAAGGAGATCGGCTCGAGAACGGGAACTTACAATGTTGGATATAATGTGCGTGCTGTTACCTCTTCTATCCCTGCCCTCTTATGCTTACCTGTTCTTAGGCTGCCTCTTTCGGTGTTCCAGCGGCCGGCGTTCTAGCAATCGAGCTGCTCTGCCAAGCCGAATCCCAGTCCCAGCTCCCCGCCACCGTCTTCCGGCGATCGGAAGTCATCCAGAAACTGACCGTCTTCGCTTCGCACCTGCAGTATGTTGTCCGCCCGCATGATGGAATGTATGAGGTCTGTCAGCGCGCAAGAAGGGTCATCTCCAGCATTTTGGATCGTATCCTAACAGTCAATCCTCCCGCACTGCCTGCAACCCTGCCGCCCGATGTTCTGGCGACCAACTGGTTGAACGGAGAAATTGTTGTTCTGGACGACGGAACCGATCTTTTCCGCTGGATTGACGGCTCCTCTGATACCTCGCGACGGGGGTCCTGGGCTTGATCAGCACGCGCTGCATGGTATGATGATTTATGACTGCCCCATGATGAGTAGAAGTATCCTTGTTGGGTACTTGCAAAGTATGATGATTGATGAAATACCCCTTGCTTCGATAAAAGCATACGATGTCTATGTTGTTCTCGCTCTATTTCACTGATGTTGTGAAATGCTTATTTTCTTTATGTGGCTACCTCTTCGCGCACCAGGCTCTTACCGGCCTATGAGTTGATCTATCTGCATGCGTTCCTCTTGGATCTACCCGTGTTTACCTAATGCTTTAATGAATACCGTTCAATTTTACTCTTTTGGTTATCTGACAACCACATGATGATGGAAAGTCGAGAAACCAGTAAGCAGAAGATAAGCCACCACAAGCGAGGGAACCAATCAATTCTTGAACGATAAGCCACCTGTTCACATGTTATTCCCACCTTATATCATCACCCATGTCTCTTCTCGATAACTTTGCATTTATTGCTTGCTTATCACTCACCTCACCCATACTTTGTCAAACTACGTACCCTGGTCTTTCAAACCCAACCAACCAACCAACCAACCCAATGACTTCCACCCCAGACACCGTCGAATACAAGGGGACTTGCCATTGTGGCCGGTTCCAATTCAAATTACGTCTCTTCCGCCCCTTGGAAGCAGTGCATGCATGTCATTGCACACTCTGTGCCAAGAAGGGGTACCTGTGGCTATTCCCTGCTGAACAAGAATTTCAAGTAACACGGGGGGCTGGGGAGCTGGTTTGCTACGACTCTAGTAATGGGGGTCATGAAGAGCATATGGTAAGGACCTTTCCAGGGACTGACGATGTTGATTAAATGTTAAACTGTGTCTCACTTTAGTTTTGTCCGACTTGTGGGACGGGGCTATCGGTAAGGGGACATCAGATGCCGTCGGGGGAGGTTGGGATGGGGGTAAATGTGAGTGACTTGATTAGTATGTTCCCAGGGGATGTTATGTATTGATTGACTGCTACTCGATGAAGGCGCGGGCGTTGGTGGGAGTTAATCCGTTCAAGTTAAGGGTTGAGAGGTGAGTTCGCCCTCAAACATGCCATCTTTTAAGGGATATACCCGACTCATCCATGTAGTTATACTCCGGGCAATATGTCGCATGATAGTTCTCCCACGGAGCTCAACCACATTGACACTGACACCCCATCCGAGAAGATCTACACCGGTAGCTGCCACTGCACCGCAGTCCGCCTGTCCGTCCAAGCCAAACCACTACCGGAGATTGAAGTGAAGGAGGATAACTGCAGTATTTGCCAGCGGGTATTGATCCAATTATCTGTCATCGCATATCATAAGTAGCAAGCTGTCCTGACTAATCTACTCAGAACGCCAATATCTGTATATATCCCCACCAGTCACAGGTTACTCTCCACGGCGAAGAGAACTTGACAGAGTATCGCTTTGGAAGGGGATTCACAGCACACCAATTCTGCAAGATATGTGGTGTGCAACTGAGTATGAAGTTGCATGGACCGCCTCAGTCCGTGGTGGATAATCTTCCGCTAGAGAAGCAGGAGATCGTGAAGCAGAAGTTGACTATTGTGCCGATCCGAGTGGCGGTTCTGGATGGGGTGGAGTGGGCGGATTTGAAGATTGAGAGAACGGATGAGGGTACGGAAGGGTATGTTGTTGACTGATGGGGTAATAGTGGTGAGTACTGTGTATTTATTGTAGGTAGTTATATGGTTATAATCATATTGTGTGAAATTGGTTACTTGTTACAATGTTGTTGTTCGTCAGGGACTCCGCACGGACTTGCCGTCGATCCGATCGGCACCCTCCCTAATGGGCGGTGCCTGATTGGACTTGGACCCGTGACGTCCCTTGCCTGGATGGATGCCCCTCATCCTCCCTCTTTGTTTCTCTTGCCTTCTTCCCCCACATTCACACACTCACTCGCTCTGTCAGTCGTTATTGTTAACATTACTATACTCGTCATTAATATCATCCCCCAAGGAATGCCCTCTGTCCCTACCGACGGCTTGTCCGTCACCCACCCTTCCTCCAGGACCGGTCCGCCGCACCTCCGTCTGATCCACTACAATGACGTCTACCACGTGGAGTAAGCTCCCCAATACCTACACAATAGCTGTCTACACTCCTCTCGACAACACCAACTGACAAACCCTTCAGAGAAGGATCCGCAGAACCCGTCGGCGGCGTAGCCCGATTTCAATCCGTCGTCAATTACTACCGCCACGACCCCTCCTTTTCCGAACAACCCAACGTCCTGACCTTCTTCTCCGGCGATGCCTACAACCCCAGTCTTGAAAGCACGGTCACCAAAGGGCGGCACATGGTGCCGTTTCTGAATAAGGCGGGGACAGATGTAGCCTGTGTCGGTGTATGTTAGAACTGCATCCGTGCTGCACTGGGGGAAAGCTGACAGGGTCCTGGCAGAATCACGATCTCGATTTCGGTGTCGCTCAATTCCGCCATCTACGTACACAATGTCGGTTTCCGTGGCTGCTGGCCAATGTTCTGGATCTCGATTTGGGAAAGGATGTGCCGATTGCGAATTGCGAGAAGACGTTGATGTTGACCTCGTCTAACGGGATCAAGGTCGGGGTCATTGGCTTAGGCGAGAGGGAATGGTATGTCCGATAGTCTGGTTTATGGTACATATGGGTGGGTAGGCTAATGCCGGGTAGGCTCGGAACGATCAATGCCCTCCCTCCGAACCTGGTCTATAAGTCTGCGTACAAGACAGCGCTGGAGCTGGTCCCGCGTCTGCGTGAACAAGGCGCCGAATTGATTGTGGCGGTCACCCACCAACGTGAACCGAATGACTATAAGCTGGCTCAGAAGCTTCCGCCGGGAATGATTGATATTATCTTGGGTGGCCACGATCATTTCTATGCCCATGCCGTCGTCAACGGCACGCATGTCCTGCGGTCGGGTACGGACTTCAAGCAACTTAGCTACATTGAGGCGTGGCGCAAGGAGGATGGTGAAGGATGGGACTTCAGTATTGTGCGCCGGGATATCGTTCGGTCAATTCCGGAGGATCCTGCAACGACGACCATGGTGAATCGGCTGACGTCTAGCTTGGCGGCGAAGTTAGAAAAGCCGATCGGGTATACTTCGGTCGCACTGGATGGTCGATTCTCAACTGTGCGTCAGAAGGAGTCGAATCTGGGGAACTTTGCGTGCGACCTCATGCGGTTTTACTATGGGGCTGACTGCGCGATGATGGCTGGCGGGACTATACGTGGTGACCAAATTTACCCGCCAGGGATCCTGCGGCTGAAAGATATCCTCAACTGCTTCCCCTTTGAAGATCCGGTCGTATTATTGCGCATCAAGGGTCGTGCGCTCTTCGATGCCCTGGAGAATGGAGTGAGCCAACTTCCAGCGCTCGAAGGACGGTTTACCCAGGTGTCGAACATTGCTTTTGGCTACAACCCCTCGGCCCCTTCGGGCTCCCGCATCAACTGGGCCCAGGTCGGCGGAGAGCCAATTGACTTCGATGGGCAGTACACATTGGCAACCCGCGGATACATGGCTCGTGGGAAAGACGGTTTTGCGTCTCTGTTGGTGCAGTCAGAGGGCGGCGAAGTCGAAGAGATCGTAGATGAAGAGAGTGGCATCCTGATCAGCACACTACTTCGCCAGTATTTCCTGAGTTTGCGAGTGATGGGTCGATGGCGGCGCTGGGGTCCCAGCATGACCCGACACTGGAGCAACGTGCATGATAGCCTCCATTGCAATGGGTGGCTGAAACCTCCATCCCGCCAGCCGTCTCCCGAATTAAACAAGGTGCCGTACCGGCCGCCTTTGTCGCGGTCGAAGAACTACTATTATGGTCGGTTTCCCGAGATTGTGGAAACCGAGGAGACGGAGAGCCGAGGCGTGGGCCTGAACGGGGAGGACGAGTCGATGGACTCGGACTCGGACACTGACCCCGACATCCTGACCTCTCCTCGTCCAACTACGAACTATGTAACTCTGCCAGCACGGTCCGCTACGGAAGAGGAACGGCGCCTGCGTCTGGCGCGCAAGGCCGTCCGGACATGGATGCACCGGACCGGGCTGCAGCCATCGCCAATTAATGACGCGGATGAAGTTGGAGAATTCACACCGACGTGGACACCTGGTATCTCGCCGCGCTTGGAGCAGCGGATTGTGGTTGAAAATTAGAGGATTTGGAGGAGGTTGGCGATCCATCATACCATCCGCTGGCTATGATATCATCCCCGCACCAGGCAACCGCCAATCTGTCCCCAGCTTATCCGGATCTCCGCACGTTTACCTCGAGTCCCGCCATTCTTCCCTCCTGCCCTTCCATCCCACCTCCCTCCTCTTCACAATGGCCACCCACGCCGATCGCATCAATCCTCTCCGCGCCCAAATCGCTCGCTTTCACGAAACCCGCACTCCCTTCCGCATATACCACGGCAGCACCAATTCCACCCGCAATGCCAGTCTCACCCCTACCAATACTCTCAGTACCGCTCACCTTACCAATGTCCTCTCCGTTGATCATGCTGCCAAAACCATCCAGGTGGAGCCCAACGTCCCAATGGATGCTCTCCTGAATGCTACACTCGCCTATAACCTCGTCCCGCTGGTCGTCATGGAGTTTCCCGGCATCACCGCAGGCGGGGGTTTCTCCGGCACCTCCGGCGAGAGCAGTTCCTTCCGACACGGCTTCTTCGATGCCACAGTGACTCGCATTGAGATAATTCTTGGTAATGGGGAGATTCGTACGGCCTCCTGTACCGAAAATGCGGAGCTGTTCAATGCCGCAGCTTCCGCGTTCGGTACCATGGGCGTGATCACCATGCTGGAGATTCAATGTCGCGACGCTAAGTCGTTTGTCGAATTGTCCTATATACCGGCTCGTAGCATTAGCGATGCGCGGCAGATATTCCATGAGAAGACCCAGGACCCCGATGTTGATTATCTGGACGGCATAGTCTTCGCCAAGGACCATGTAGTGGTATGCGCGGGGCGACTGAGCGATGGTTCTCTCTCGAAAGACGACAAGACACAGAGATATAAGGTTCAACACTTCACCCGTCCCCACGATCCCTGGTTCTATCTCCATGCTCAACGCTCCGGGCGTGTAACGCCCCCATCTTCAGCCCCCGTAGAACCAACGACCGAGCTCGTGCCCCTTCCTGACTACCTCTTCCGCTACGACCGCGGTGCCTTCTGGACCGGCCGCTACGCCTACAAATACTTCATAACACCCTTCAATCGCATTACCCGCTACCTCCTCGACTACTTCATGCACACGCGCGTCATGTACCACGCCTTGCACGCCAGCGGACACTCCAACCAATACATCATTCAAGACGTAGCCGTTCCATACTCCTCTGCAGACACCTTCGTCACGTGGCTCGACGAGCCAGAGAACTTTGGCGCATACCCAATCTGGCTCTGTCCTCTCAAAGTCACTGACAAGACCAGCACAAGTAACCCCCAAATCATCGGCCGCGGAAAACCCTCCCATCCCTCTTCCTCATCAGCAGAGAAGGAGGAAGATGAATACCTCCTCAACTTCGGCCTCTGGGCGCCCTCCCCCTACCGCGGCGCCCAATTCATCGCCCAGAATCGCCGTCTCGAGCACAAAGTCCGCGACCTGGGCGGCAAGAAGTGGCTGTACGCGTGCGCGTATTACACGGAGGACGAGTTCTGGGACATATACGATAAGAAGCGGTATGATGCCCTCCGGGAGAAGTATCATGCCGGCTACCTGAAGACTCTGTATGAGAAGGTGAGGGTGGATTTGGATCCATCTGCCACGGAGAAGGAAAGGCAAGCTGGGATGGGATGGGGACAGTGGGTTGGGAATGTGATGTGGAATGTGTGGCCGGTGAGTGGGTTGTATGGAGTGTATCGGGCGTGGTGGGGAGGTGAGTATTTGTTGAAGAAGGGGAAGTAGATGTTGGTGCTATATAGGTAGGTGGATGTATTTGTTTTGGATTTGTGGATGCATAGACTCTTTTGGATATATCTGAAGCGATAGAGATATATGAAATAGCATTTATGAAGTAGGTTTTTATGTACTATTGAAGAAGCGTAGCAGTAGAGTTACGCACTTGTAATACAGGATCTTCCACAGGAATTTTTGATCACGTCGCACTGCGGCTGATCAATCAGTCTTCAGTCGTAATATGTCTACTACTTACTGCCTGCCCAACTGGTAACACTATCTCTCACTCTAGGTGCTATACGTGTGCAGACAGAGCTGGACTGATAACCTCATCTAAGCTGGTAATTCCTATACTACATAGTAGTTAATTTGATCATCAATCCTATTTGATGCACTATTACTGCATGCAAATCATAATACATCACGTACATAGCTAGGAGTAATATTCAATCATCATAGTCATCATCACGGATCCACTATCCCCCAACACCATATCCAAAAGGCTTTATTCCGAACAGTTCATTAAAGAGATCCCAGGCAACCTTTTCATCAACTACAGCTCTAACCACACCAGAAATTTTTCTCTCCTTCTCATCGCTAATGCTGCCGTCTCAACTCCTTCCGGAAACTCTCCTCCTGCTTGACGACCTCCAACGGCAGCGTCCAGCCAACCCCAAACAAGACGAACGGCGCCCACTTCCACCGGAAGGGGTTAACCAGGATACAAAACACGAACCAATACAAGAGCTCAGTGTACGTGAAGAAGTCGAACGCACCAACAGGCGACAACTTCTTCATGAACCGGGTGAAGTCGATCCAAGTCCTCATGCGACCTTCCGTCGGACGGGACAGCGGGTCCGTCAAGAACATCAGGAGAAATCTGGTGTAGATGCCAATGTGCATGTTGCCGACGGTGCCGATGGCGTTGACGTAGGTGCTGTTGTTGGCGCAGATGCTGGGGTATTTTGGTGGGAAGACTTGGAGGTACCAGCTCGGAGGGGAGTAGGGTTCTTCGAAGGCGTCGTTGGGGAGGAAGGAGAGGGAGGGGCGTTTGAAGCCTGTAGCGAGGATGATTACGTCGCCGGGGACGAGGTCTTCGTGGCCGGGTCCGCCTTTGGGGACGCCATTGCCGCGGAAGTTGAAGCGCACGCCGTCCTCTTCGAGGGTGACGATGTCGCCGCGGAGCCAGCGGGCTTTGCCGTCGCGGATTTGTTCGAAGAGTTCGGAGTTGGCCATCGGGGTTTGGGTGAAGAGGCCGCCCGAGGGGGCGATGTCGGAGAGGTCTCGGTAGAAGAATTTGCGGAGGAGGGATTCGGGGATCCATGAGAGGGAGGTTTCTTGTCCGAGGATGTTCATGGCTAGAAGGGATTGGACGAAGACGTTTCGGGGAATGATCCATTTGTCGGAGCGGGAGAGCACGTCGATTTGGGCGGCTTTGGACTTCACGGCGAATTCGAGGGCCTCGATGGCGCTGGCACCGCCGCCAACAATGAGGACCCTTTTGCCTTCGACTTGTTTCCCGTCGAGTTCGGAGGAGTGGTAGATTTCGCCCTTGAAGCGTTCCTGGTCTGGCATTGTCGGCATTTTCGGGTCACCACAGACACCAACGGATGCGATGATGCCGTCGAAGCGGCCGTATTTTTCTTCCTCGTTGTTGATGATCCATCGGCCGTTTTTGGTTTGCTTGACGGAAGTCACTGGGGTGTTGAAAGTGGTGTGTTTCTGCAGGCCATATCGCTTCCAGAGGTCGACGATCTGCTCTTTGATCTCTGCTTGGGTGGGGTAGGCTGTGTCGTACTGCACTGAAGGATGGAAGCGGTACATGATGCTGTGGATCTGCAGGGAGGAGGTAGAGTTCACTCGCTGTGTGGAATTAGTAAGGATCCAGATGAGGCTTTCGTATGGCCGTGACTTACACTCCAGATACCTCCCAACCCCTTGTCTTTCGATCTCGCTTCAAAGATCTCCACATCGAAGCCATGGCCTACACAATGCGCGGCTGCGGATACTCCAGTGAGACCGGCTCCAATTACAGCCACTCGCTTTTTCGGGACGCCATTGGCAATCGAGGATGGCTTTGGGGGATTGGGTGCAAAGATCCAGTTGAGCAGGTTCTGGAAGAGCATGTAGCATATGGTGAAAGACTGGAGGAGGGGGTTGCGGATAAAGGCCGACAAGGAGAAAGCGGACTCTGATTCCGCCATGGTGGCGATTGGCTGAGCGAGTGAGGTTAGTGCAAAGATGCTGTTGTCAATGGATATAGGTCACTGTAAAAACAAAAGATTGGGACGTTTATGGTAGAAGAACAGGAACGGGGAGGGGTGCTTTTCTAGGGCAGCGGAAACCGGACGGAAGCGATAATGATGATGATGGCAATGACGTAGAGGGTGGATCGGAGCATGTGAAGGCGGGCCAAAGCCAATTCCATGTTTCATTCATCACGACCCTGCACGGCCTGCATTGGAGGTATTTTCAGCCAGTCAATAACAATCACGTTCTTAGATATTTTGCCATTGCTTGGGATGAGAGGCGCGCTGATCAATGGGTCGCACGAGTCCTACTGGGTATCCGACTTGTTTTCAAGCCGGCCGGCATCTGCATGGGGAGGACCAGACCCCTTCGTTTCGTCCTCCCAAATCAAGACAAGATAGATTCTGGTGCTCATCAAGGCATAGAATAATGCCTGGGCTCCGAGCAGCGGATCCAGCGACCATCACATGAAAGTTTATGCCGTTCTGCGCTGCCCTGCTGGCAGTCCATCTGGATGTTTCCGAGCCGCAGCTTCAAGCCAGTCGGAGAAAACCATGCGTAACACCATTCTCATCTTCATGTGCGACATAAATGAGCTATGGTAGTCAATTCTGACGTCTGGCACCTGATTGAGCTCCTGCGAGTGTAGTTCTTCGGTGCTTGTTGCATTGCCTATGCATTCCTTGATCGCGGTCGCATGAGAGTCTCAGAGCAACTGGGGATCTTTGTACGTTGAGTAGCTATTCCGTTGCAGGATATCTCAGTCCCAATCACATTCCATATCCCAGTAAATGATTGAAGGCAGGTGAGTGGTAGATGCACTCTGAGCTTCACGGTGCTGGCGCCGAACGGACTAGTCTGCCCATCCATAGCAATAGCTTGTCCATAGTGCAGATTGTTAGCGTTTCCTGGTAAGTGATTGTTTATAATAGCCCAATCTGCAATACTGCAAGCAGTAGAAACAATTCTTTCTCGAGCACGCGAGGATGAAGTTGAAAAGGGAAGAGAG